CCTGATTTTAGGAATTGTATCTCTACCCCTGTGGCTAAGGGTGAGTGACGACCTCTGGAATTCCAGCCACAGGAGACAAAGCCTGTCTCTGGTAGCAAACCCTGCCTCAGTTTCCTCTCCCTGCCCCCACAGCTTGGTCAGAAGTCAATGACGGGTAAGACCCCTCACAGCAGGGGGAAACCCAAGCCAGACTCGATCACCTGGGAGGCCTTCATGGAAGGACTCAGGGGACTGCAACAAAGAGCAATGGGCTCTCACCCCCCGGCTTTGTCAAAGCCCGAGTCCCCATGTCCTCTGGGAGAAGCACTTCCTGGCTCTAATCCCCTTAACCCTGAATACCTGTTGGGGAGAGGTGCAGCTCCTTGCCTGGCCAGAGCGTGCCCTGGGGAAAAATCTGGCACCACAAAGACTTACTGATTAACCTGTGAAATCTGCTAAAAGTGCTTTTCACTCATATGATAAGGGACCAAGAGGAAATGAGTTTTTCTCCCAAAGTTTCTGCAACTCTGACTCATAGTTAGCCCTCAGATCTCTTTGTAATGTTATCTACTGTTTGATCCTTGACACCCTGTATTCCCGTATTACAACGCAATAAAAGGCTATGGAAGAGGGCGCTGGGGCCTTTTTCTCCTCCAAGAAACTGGCCGCTGCTGGCCTTTGTCTCCCCAGAGAAACTGGCCACAGCCCACTCCTCCATCCCCCAAACAGATCTCATCTTGTCTCGGCCATATTTACTCATTCACGCGTGTCCGTTGCACCGGAGGGACCTCAAGAAAGAAGTCGCCCCCACAAGTGCTACTATTTCGAGATTCAGAAGCTCTAATTTTCCTTCTGGCCACTACGTGGCCATAGAAATGACCTCATGGGAAGGATCAGGTTCACTTTCCCAATAGGTTGGACTTCCGGTATCGACAATGTCATAGGTTTTATTAACCTCGGGCAAAGTTATTTCGCCTACAATTTTAGTGTTACACAACTTTCCAGTACTATTTCACATAAAGATGGTGTTATCACAATAAAGATCACTTAGTATAGCAGAATTCTCTGCCCCTCCCAACACAAACATCCCTTTTCCATACACCAGACACTGTTATTTGTTGCAGAAGAAACAACACGCCCAGACTGTACTTCGTATAAATTGGGGGCATGACCGTCACCTTCTCAACTTTTATGATTAGACAGGGAGATGGGCCCCCATTGTTTAATTTAATAAATTGGGCCCCTTACTTCCCATAGGAAGTATCGCATGTTGGTGAGGATGGTCCCTACAGCAGCTGTTGAATACTCAGAATCTGAGCTTAGGACCTCACCAACGTGCCTGGGCTTTTAACACACTATGTTGTAGCTTGCCTTGCCCACCCCACTTCTCCAAAATCCAGGGGGACCATATGAGTCCCATGACTGTCTGGCCTGGGCTCCTGCTCCCACCCCAGGGGCCACGGTTTCGTGGCTACTTCCGACCTCATCTCCATCAGCAGGGACAACAGGCCTGTGGAGTTCGGGTGCAGGCAGGTCCCACTGCTGGGCCTGGGCCTGGGTTTCCACAGTCTGTCAAGTCTGTTTGGCCACGGAGCTCAGGCCTCATCATCCTTCTGTGCTGCTTCCCACCCTGTTCCTGCTTCTGGAACAGCAGTCAGTCCCTCTGCAGGACCCACTTTAGGTAAAGGGTCTTTTCTAATGAATGACCTTCTTCACTGACTGCAAGTTCAGCTTCTCCCAGAACGCCAAGGCCAGCCCCTAACCCTCCAAGTCCCCCCTTCTATTTCCTTTAGAGGGCGGGTGGGGGTGGATCCACCAGGGATGTTGTCGCCATTGGGCAGCCAGGGCCAGGGAGCAGCTGGGGTGCACTGAATGGACCCAGACATGTGGACTTTCCCATCCACAGTTAAGTGGACGGAAGTCACCCCCAAATGAACTAGGGTTTCAGTGTCCCACAGGGCTTCCCACAAGTGTCCAGGAGACAGGAGACAGGGGACAGAATACAGGTTACAGGGCTATTTACAGATACAGCTGCCCACCAAGTCATAACGATAATTTTTGAAATAAGGAGCCATTGATTTTTTTCTTTTTTCACAGACATCCAGCCACAGGCACATGCCTGGTGAGTCCTAGGGCCACACACACTGTGACAAACAGGGCAGGTGGCTGCAAGCCTTTCCACCACAACCAGGTATTTTTCTTGGCTCTTCATCAGCCATTGCTGTAGTTACACAACACTCAAGTAGGTGGGTCCAATGTGATTCCAGCAGGTGAATTATCAGGGTTGTGTTCTTGGAGGAATTTCCCCCGAATGGGTTCTTAGGACAGACTGATTGAGGAAAAAAATGTACCAAACCTTATACTGATAGTAGGAGAGGCCCAATGTGTGGGCAACAAAGCATTAACTTCATTATCCTAACTGATCATTAGAATATCACTGTCCAGCCCTGGCTGGTGTAGCTCAGTGGATTGAGCACAGGCCTGTGAAGCAAAGGGTCACCAGTTTGATTCCCAGTCAGGGCACATGCCTGGGTTGCAGGCCAGGTCCTCAGTAGGGGACACATGAGAGGCAGCCACACATTCATGTTCCCTCCCACTCTTTCTCCTTCCCTTCCCCTCTCTCTAAAAATAAAGAAGTAAAACTACTTAAAAAACAGAATATGATTGTCCAGTAGGTGGGAAAGTTGACAGGTACCAAAGATACGTTTTCCACATCTAAGAAGGAAGGGGGTCTGGGTGGACGGGTACTGTTTCCATCAGGAAGCCACGAGGAGGATGATAACAATACAAATCCATCTTATGTACATTCAGTCAACAGCAGCATCAATTTGTGAGCCTGTAGGCCCCGTTGCTGTGTTGGGACAGCTGTCTGCCTGCCTGGTTGGTGGCTTCTTGTCCTTGAAAAGTCCTTGATCTCTGCTGTGCATGGAGGCCAGTGTCAGGGAAGGGGCAGATCTCCGTGCACTGTCAGGCGTCTTCTCTAAATGCGTCGTGGGAACCCAGGAGTTAACTCCTCTGAGCTCAGCGGCACGTGGGTTAGTTAGTAGCACCTGGTAATGCCCCTCCAATGAGGCTGGAGAGAGTCCTTGATTTGATGTCTCTTCCAACAGACCGAGTGTCCTGGTTGTAAGCCATCATCTTTGAAACCTATGACTCCCAGGAGTGGTTAATAAGCCCCTGACACTGATGTAGAAAGTCCCCTTTCAGCAAAATTGGTCCATGTGCCCCTTCTCCAGATGCACAGAGAGACCAGAGACCAGTCCCAAAGGAGAAGGTTCACGTTTACCAAAGGGCGTGGCCCTCAGGCTGAGTTGCACTCTAGAGAGAGCTTCTGTCCAGGGCACAGTGAAGGCTTCTGAAGTTCTGTCCAGTTGAATTTTGATGTCCCATTGGTGCATCCCCCAGTCCAGGGGGGGAGTGAGGGGCACATGAAAATGCTGCAGAAGGGGCCAAAGGTTCCAGACAGATTTTGTGACCTGCCCAGTGAAATGAGTCCTCAGTCACTGTGTAACTCAGAGGGATTCCCCAGTGGGGAGTTATTCTTTCTAAGGAGAACTGACAGACGTTAAGGCTGTCACTCTCCTGCAAGGCAACACCTCAACCCAGTGAGGAAACACACAAGTAATCACTCATATACATTTGTGTCCCTGACACGGTGACATTTGGATGAATAGCCAAACCTCACGTGGACCCACAGGGAGCAGAAAATGCACTTGGGATCCACAGAGTGGTTCCCTGGGCTGCACTCTGGACAGACAGGACATCTGCTGTACTCCTCATGAGCCACAGCAGGAGAAGGTCTCCAGTGACAGTGTCCAGTCCATGAAATCACCTTTCCAGGGCCCCAGTGTGGTGGCTCCTGTACAGGTTCAAGTGCAGGGAGTTGGGCCCCTTCAGGTGAGATGGGTTCTGATTGGGTCCAAGCCACATCTCTCTGTCTGGGCCAATGTTTCCCCCTTTGTGTTGCATATTCCCTTTTCTTTTTCCTTAGCTCTCCACTGAAACTGTAAAAGATCACTTTTTATTGATTTAATAGAATTCGGTGTACATTTCTGGGTCTGGATAATGTGTCAGTTCAATGCCACCTCCCTAGCTGCAGTGCAAGCAAAATGAACTTCCTTTCCCTTCCATGGTGGCAGCTTTAGAATGCCCTGGAATGATGATGGCCCAATGTTTGGGGGCCTGTGTAGCATCTAATAATCCTGCAATCACTTTTGCATGTCTTTGTGCACTGCCCTGAGGAAGTGAGGACTCCCCATCATCCCACAGTCCCCCACTTCCCCATGATCCCACAGTCCCGGCTCTCAGTGTGAACATTGGCGACCGGATCTTTGTCCAGGTGACAAGCCCGAGTTAGAGCAGTCAGTTCAGCGTGCTGGGCAGATTTCACTTCCAGTCAATGAGCATTCTCAGTCATGTCCACCACGGAAGTTACTGCATGTCCCCCTCAGTGATGTCTCTGGTCATCTCTCAGATAAGATCCCTCTGTATCCAAATTAAAGCAGCGGTATCATAGGAGTTTCCTGTAAATCACTCCTAGGAACCAGTAGGTGGTCAGTCAGCACCACGCAACTGTCCTCATGGTGTAAAGGGGGTAACAGTTGCAGGATTAAGGTGGTCACACTGAATTAAAGTGATATCGGGGTGCAGAGAGCACGAGACTTACTTCCTACAAGCCAAATGGACGCACAGAGACGTGTTGACTGGGATGAGGAAACAGTAAAGAGTCAACAGAATAAGGGGGGAAAAATAGTTAAAGGAACGCCCTTAACGTCTCTGTTCTGTTTTGGAAACCCGGCTACAGGCGCAAACTCACAGGGAGCAGGAGTTCTCCTTGTTCACTAAACGTTCACTAACCGTTAAGTTTAACCGTTATATTATAAATGTTCCGGACAGAGCCACGCCAGGACCCTTGCTGACGTGCTGGAGTCCTCACTCCCATTGGATGTGCGGACACAGACAAGCCCATGGGCCTCACCGTGCAGCCGGTGAGCAGGACTCCTCCGCCAGAAGGTTTGGTTGATCTCGGTCATGTGTCCCCGAGCCCTGCTCCTCCTGCTGTCCGGGACCCTGACCCTGACCCAGAACTGGACGGGTGAGTGCGGGGTACGGAGGGAAAGGCCTCTGCAGAGCAGGAGCCAGGGGGCCCGCGGAGGCGCAGACCCGGGGACTGTGCTCCAGCAGCACCGCCCGCCCACACCCCAGAACTCCCCCACTCCTGCTTTAGCCACGCCCCCCATTTCCCGGCTAAGTCCTCTCCAGCACCCGCCACCTTTCAGTGTCCCAGGCGCCCAGCTCCCACCCGCCCCACAGCGAACCCAGGACCTGCGTCCCCCCCCCCAGGCCCCCACACCCTGGGATATTGCAGCACCGCCATGTACGTACCCCTTGGCAAGAAGAACCGCTACACCGTCGTCATCTACGTGGACGACACGGAGATCCTGCGGTTCCACAGTGACGCCGCCAGTGCCAGGCTGGAGCCGAGGGCGGCCTGGATGGAGCAGGAGGGCGCAGGGTTTTGGGAGGAACAGATGCAGGAAATAAGGCACAACGAACAGAGGAGCAGAGTGACCCTGAACAAGCTGCACGTCTACTACAACCAGAGCGAGGACGGTGAGCCACGCGTGCCCGGGGCTCGGGGATGAACCCATCCCCACGGAGGAGCCGGAGTCGCCCAGAGTCGCAGGGTCCTAGCATTCCCCTGATGCTGCTGCGAGGTGGGGCCGGGCGGGGCCAAGTGGGTGGTGCTGACCTTGGGCGGGGTCAGGGTCTCACACCCTCCAGGAAATGACCGGCTGCCTCGTCGGGTTGGACGGGCACTTCCTCCACGGGTTCAGTCAGTTCGCCTACGACGGCGCCGAATTCCTCTCCCTGGACGAGGACCTGCGCTCTTGGACCACCAGGGCCACAGCGCCCCAGATCACCTGGCGCGAGTTGGTGCTGCTCCCTGATGCGGACGTCAGGAGATTCTTCCTGCAGGACATCTGCGTGGGCCGCCTCCACCGCCTCCTGGAGAAGGGGAAGGACACGCTGCTCCGAGCAGGTTCGGGGCACGGCCTCCCCGAGGAGGGGATCTGTCAGCAGGGAAATTTTCCTACAAGGAGAGGAGGAAAATAGAACAGTCTCAGAATCCTCCTCCTGGTCTCAAGAGGGAAGAGTCCCCCAGGTTTCCTTATTTTAGAATCGTATAAATGTAACTACTCCTTAACTGTTAAGGGGCTGAAATTACATTTGGCCCTTTGAAGGCAACTGAGAGGCTGATGTGACCCTCACGAAAATGAGTTTTACACCCTGCAGCACCTGGTACACCAGGAACTCCCCCTGGTTCTGGGGCTGAGACTCTCTGGAAGCTGGACTCCAGCTTTTGTGACTCATTCTGCCTCCACCTGAGTCTCATTCTCAACTTAGACACCTGGACACTCCAACTCTAGGTTCTCTCCCTGATTCTGGAACTTTCCAGGAAATAAGGCCCTGTCCAGGCTGCTGTCTGGGTGGTGCCATGCTGGAGTGTCCCATGACCATGCAGAATTCCTGAATTTTCTCACCCTCCCCTCAGACCCTCCAAAGACACACGTGACCCACCACCCCATCTCTGACCATGAGGTCACCCTGAGGTGCTGGGCCCTGGGCTTCTACCCTTCGAACATCACCCTGACCTGGCAGCGTGAAGGGCAGGACCTGACCCAGGACATGGAGGCTGTGGAGACCAGGCCTGCAGGGGACGGGACCTTCCAGAAGTGGGCGGCTGTGGCCGTGCCCCCTGGAGAGGAGCAGAGATACACGTGCCATGTGCAGCACCAGGGGCTGCCTGAGCCCCTGACCCTGAGATGGGGTGAGGAGGGGGCGTGGGCACAGAGCCTCTCTCTCCCCAGGGTGTCCCTGAGCAGGGTCAGGACTCAGGCCTGAGGTTGGTCTCTTACCTTCCCCTCGCAGAACCCCCTCCTCAGACCACCATCACAACAGTGGTCATTGCTGGTGCCCTGGTTCTCCTTGGAGCTGTGGCTGCTGGAGCTGTGATGTGGAGGAGGAAGTGCTCAGGTGGGCAAGGGGTGGGGCTGAGTTCCCTGTCCCCCTGGGGGTCAAGCCCAGGTGGAAGTGTGCTCTGCCCAGATAATGGTCATGGTGTCCCCACACAGGTGCTTGTCCATCTGGGGCCTGTTTCCTAACACTGACTCTTTAGTGAGGTTCATGGGAAAGTGAAGGACCTATCATTTGAGGGTTCTAGCAATAGAGACTGATTCCTAGTTGCCAGAGGTCAGAGTGTAGGATCTGTGCTATGGACAGACGTCCAGGTGGGTGGTTGGCCAAGTCCCCACACATGTTACTTTCCCTAAGTTTCCTGATCCTACCTCGATGTTCAGTCACAGTTCTGGAAATTTCCTTGTGCTCCAGGTGTGTGGGGCTCCTTTAGGGTCACGGGACCCAGCCTTTCCCCTGACTTCTCACAGAACATTTTCTTCCCACAGGCAGAGGCAGGGAGAGATGCACTCAGGCTGCTTGTAAGTCTGGGTGTTGGGGAGGTGACATCTGGGACCCTTGGGAGAGTGTGGGCTGGAGTCTGTGAGGGGGGCTCCCCCACCCCGTAACTCTGCTATGTGTCTTCCCCAGACAGGGACAGTGCCCAGGACTCAGGTGTGTCTCTCACAGCTCCTAAGGGTGAGACCCTGAGGTCAGGAAGTGGGAGACATGGGGACCGAGGGACACAAATAGGTTTTGGGGATTGTCAGAGTGGGACAATCTGAGCCTGTGGTGTGATGTGGGGGAATGTGATACTTCTGAGACTGGCCAGAGTTTGTTCATGACAACTTTCTTCCCAGGGTGACAGAGCTGCTTTCTATGGGACTTGGTGCTAAAAGTCACAGAAGCCTCCCCTTGGGACTTTAAGGATCCCTGACTGCAGTTCCTGCAACTGGCATCGGAACTTGTCTGCATTCTTATCAGCACAGTGAGGAGCTGGTGCCCAGGCCACCCTCCCCACAGGGACCTGTGTCCTCTCCCCAGGGGACTGTCATGTCCTAGCAGAGCCAGGGTGAGGCATCCCCATCCTGGTCATTCCTAGTCTGGGGCATCTTTGTTGCTATTTTGTCCTTGCCACTTCAGGAGAACCTTGTCCCAGCAGGACCTGGGGTCCCAGGGACTCGAGCATCACCTGGGCCTTGTGGTGGCTCCAGGACTGTGCTCAGTGAGGGCTTCATGAGGCCGCGTCAGCCTGGGCTCAGGCCTGGGTCTGGCCCTCAGCCCCTGTTTGGGGTATTTTATTGTTTTTTTTCTTTTTCTACATGTTATATATATTCTTGTTTTCTTATAAATTATTGCAATGTTTTTATTAAATTATTGGGGGGTGTTCTTATTCAATGTATTGGGGTGCACTGGTTAAGAGGTTCCTGTAGGTTTCAGGTGCACATTTCTAGGACACAGGGTCTGTACATTTCACTGTGTGCCCACCACCCAAAGTCAAACCATCTTCCCTCACCAGGTACGAGGCCCCTCCTCCCCCAACCCCCTTCTCTCTGGGAACCACCACCCTGCTGTCTGTGTCCCTGAGTTTCAGGTTTATGTCCCATGTGTGAGTGAAATCCTGTAGTTCTTAGCATTTTCTTTCTTTTTTTTTTCAGAGTGTATTTATTTACTTTTAGAGAGCAAGGAAGGGAAGGAGAAAGAGAGGGAGCAAAACATGGATTTGTGAAATAAACATCAATATAGGGGCTAATCGGGGAGGTGGCCCCACACCCAGGCCTGTGCCCTCACCAAGAACTGACCTGGAGCCTTTTCAGTTTGTGGGAGAACACCCATCCCACTTAGCTACACTGACCACCTTCCATCAAAAACAAGAAAACAATATCATCCCAGCCCACTAGCTCCGTTGGAGTGTCGTCCTGCACATCAACAGGCCATGTGTGCAGTTCCTGGTCAGGACGCACACCTGAGTTTGAGTAGGGAGCCCCACCGGTCAGGGCACCTTGGGGTGCAACTGAGCGATGTTTCTCCCTGGTACCAGTCTTTCTCACTCACTTCCACTTCATCTCTCTCTAAAATCAAGGGAAAAAATGTCCTCTGGTGAGAATTAAAACAAAAAATACAGAGAATCAACTGATGATTACAGTGTTTTGCCATGTATAACATGCACCGACATTTTTGGCCCAAACATTCAGGAAAAAAATTTCATTTTAATTTTTAATATAATTTTTATTTGTATTTAAGCCTGGGTTTTTTGTATGATAAAGGAATTTGAACATTATTTTGGATATTATGGTATTTTATTGCATGTGGATATCGTTAGTGCTTTCCTTAGTCACGCTTTTAACACATTCGCATAAGTGAAAGAATTAAAAACATTTTGCCCCAGTTCGTGTGGCTCAGTGGATTGAGTGCGGGCCTGTGGAACCAAAGGATCACCATTGGATTCCCAGTCAGAGCACTTGCCTGGGTTGCAGGTCAGGTCCCCAGTAGGGGACATGCGAGAGACAACCACACATTTAAGTTTCCCTCCCTTTTTCTCCTTCCCTTCCCCTCTCTCTAAAAAACAAATAAAATTTATTTTTTAAATGCTCCTCCTGCCTTAGCTGGTGTTGCTCAGTGGATTGAGCACCAGCCAGTGAACCAAAGGGTCACCATTGGATTCCCAGTCAAGGACACATGCCCTTGTCCCAGGTTCCCAGTAAGGGGCGCTGCCAGAGGCAGCCACACATTGATGTTTCCCTGTAAAAATAAATAAAATCTTTTTAGAAAGTTCCTACTCCATATTTGTGTCATGCTGTATATTTCTTCATATACTGCAACCAAAAATAACATTAAATGCAGAAGCAAATATGAAAATCTAGCGGACTTCTAATTTTACAGACAAGAACTGAGACTCCCGAAAATATAAAATGTAAGCAGATCCACTGTTTTCACTACCTTGTTTGGGGAATAGTTATTTTTCATTAAAAAAAAACCATTATTCTGTTAACATGTCATAGGGTATTATGATTATTCTAAATGAATTAAGAATTTTTCGGAGGAACAAATAGGAGGAAAGGGAGGGAATAGGGGGGGGGGGGTGGAGAAATAGACAAAACTGTACTTGAAATAACTAATATTAATTATTTTTAACTACTATATCATGTTATATGTCAATTACGCCCAATACATGTTACACCTTTTTCAACTGTCTTATTCCTTGTATGGTAAATATTGATAGCAGTACCCACACAAACAAATTGTTTTTGTGGCCGTCCCTATTTTGTAAGACTCTTTAGATATTCTGAACCCAAAATGTTTTGAGAGTCGCTGAACAAACAAACAGCCCGGGGGCCGGGACTCAGGGAGACAGCGGGACAGAGCTCCCCCTGCAGGAGGAGGAGGGGTCGGGGCCCAGTCCCAGGTCGCCAGGCCTGACTCCACTGTCTGAGGCCTGAGTTTGAGGCGGGACCCTAAGTGCTGGGGGCAGTGCCCTTCGGTTCCGGGCTTTCCCTTCTCCTTGAGGTTTCACTTTCCTTTATCAGACCCTACGTCGGGTCTCCGCCTGGATATTCGTGACGCACAGCCTGTCTCCTGGTGACTGGATGACCGAACTCGGGAAAAGCCAATCATCATCATCCCGGATGCGAATTAAGCGACCTATTCCTCCCCCGACCCTTCGGTTGGACAGGGTCCCGGACAGCTGCTCCTGCTGCTCTCGGGGGCCCTGGTCCTGACAGAGACCTGGGCCGCTCAGTGCGGGGGTCGGCAGGGAACGGCTTCCGTGGGGCAGGAGCGCGTGCACCTGGCGGGGACGCGGAACCCCGGAAGGGCGCGTCGCCAGCCACCGCAGCCCAATCCCAACAGCAAACCCCCTCCTCGGCCCCGCCCCTGGCCCCGCCCCTCTCAATCTCCGCCCCCTTTGCTGTTCTGGGCGCGATCCAGTTCAATCCGCCGGACCGCGGACGCAGGCCGGTCGCCCTCTCAGCTCCCAGACCCTCGCATTGTGAGGAAGTTCAACACCGGCGTGTCCGGACCGACCTGCCTCTGAAGAACCGGTACAGCGTCGTCGGCTACGTGGGCGATACCCGGATCTCGCGGCTCCACAGCGATGCCCCGAGGCCCAGGCTGGAGCCGCGGGTACCGTGGATGGAGCCTCCGTGAGAGAAGCGGGAGGATCCAGAGAAGTGGGACGAGCAGACGCGGGAAATCAAGCCCAGGAACAGAATGTGCCAGCGAAATCGAACAGGCTGCACGCCCGCTACAGCCAGAGCGAACACGGGGAGCCACCGGCGCCCGGGTTCGAGCTCGATGCACTTCACCACGGACGGGCCGGGGTCGCCCCGAATCTGTGGTTCGAGATTCACCCCGAGGTTGTGAGACTCGCCCTGCGCCCTTCAGGATAGGAGCTCGCGGGGATTTGACCCCGTTTCGTTTCAGGTTACGTTTTATTCACCTTCACCGCGGGAGGGGACCGACCTGCCCTGGGGGCGGAGTCGGTGTCCCAACCCACAAGAAAACGAGTGGCTGCGGCGTAGACGACGATAGGAGGTTCCTCAGAGGAAACATTTGGTTCGCCTACGACGCACCGCCTACTTGGCCCTAAATGGGTACCCGCTCTCCTAGACTCCGGATCACCTGGGGCAAGTTGGTGCACGTCCCTGACGCGGACCTCAGGAGGGTCTACCTGGAGGGCGCCAGCGTGCGCCGGCTCCACCGAGGGGAAGCCTGCTGTGGGGTGAGCCTTCCCGAGGAGGGGATCTGTCGGCTTGGAGGGGCTTCCTACAAGGAGAGGAGGAAAAGGGGGCAGTGTCAGATCCCGCTCCTGCTCGGGAGAGGGAAGAGTCTCCACATGTCCTCATTCTGTGACTCACCCGTGGGCTCAGCTTTCTCTAAAGGACAATAAGGGGCCCAGCCTCTCCCTGAAAAACCCCACAGCGGTTCCCTCACACCCTGCAGCACCTGGTGCACCAGGAGGCTCTCCCTGGTTCTGGGGCCGAGTCCTTCTCTGGAGGCCTGACTGGCTTCTCTGAGTCATTCAGCCTCCACCTGAGTCTGTGTCTCCCCTCAGAGACCTGGAGACTCTCCCCAGGGTGTCACTGAGCAGGGTCAGGACTCAGGCCTGAGGTTGGTCTCTCACCTTCCCCTCTCAGAACCCCCTCCTCAGACCACCATCACCATTATGGGCTTCGCTGCTGCCCTGGGTCTCCTTGGAGCTGTGGCTGCTGGAGCTGTGATGTGGAGGAGGAAGTGCTCAGGTGGGCAAGGGGTGGGGCTGAGTTCCCTGTCCCCCTGGGGGTCAAGTCCAGGTGGAAGTGTGCTCTGTCTCCTTAATGGGCATCGTGTCCCCACATGGGTGCTTGTCCATCTAGGGCTTATTTCCTAACACTGACTCTTTAGTGATGCCTGTGGGAAAGTGAGGGACACATTTATTACCTGATGATTCTAGCAATGGGGACTGATTTCCAACTGTCACTGGTCAGAGAGGAAGGTGCCTGCTGAGGGTGGTTGGTCCAGTCCCAGCACATGTACTTTCCCCGTATTTCCTGATCCTCCCCCGAGTGTTCAGTCATACTTCTGGAACCTTCCCTGTGCTTTAGGAGTATGAGGCTCCTTTAGGGTCATGGGATCCACCCTTCTCCCTGACCTTTCACAGAACATTTTCTTCCCACAGGCAGAAGCAAACAGAGCAACATTCAGGCTGCCTGTAAGTCTGGGTGTTGGAAGGTGACATCTGGGACCCTTGGGAGAGTGTGGGCTGGAGTCTGTGAGGGCGGCTTCCCCACCCTGTAACTCTGCTGTGTGTCTTCCCCAGACAGCAACAGTGCCCAGGGCCCTGGTGTGTCTCTCACAGCTCCTAAGGGTGAGACCCTGAGGCAGGATGTGGGCGGGTATTTGAACTGAGGGGCACAGCTGGGTTTTGGGGATTCTTAAAGTAGGACATTCTGAGCCTGTGGTGGGATGTGGGAGTTGTGACACTTCTGAGACTGACCTGAATTTGTTCATGACAACTTTCTTTCCCAGTGTGACAGAGCTGCCTTGTCCAGGTTTGGTGCTAAAACAGTCACTGCAGCCTCCCTTGGGACTTTAAGGGTCCCTGACTGCAGTTTCTGCAACAAGTATCTGAACACGTCTGCATTAAATAAATTTAACTCTATATTTATATATATGAATTAAACAGAAGTGATTTAGATTAAAAGCTCCAAAGTGTATCGTTTCCAGCAAATATTATTCTATGTACACCTTCATCCCATTTGTTAAGCTGTTAATTTAAACTCACAAACTTACCATGAGGTGTGGAGACAACCCAGGAGGGACAGACTGTCTGCCACGGACAAGGGGACCACACGGCTC